TTTTTTTTTTTTTTTTTTTTTTTTTTTTTTTTAAAGCCCTAATGTTAAGAGTGTCATGTAGTCAGTTGTTCCTGAGAGACTGGTCACATTTTGAAACCCAATGGAAATGAGTCTGCTGTTCAATCTGGATATAATTGAAAACTACAACATCAGGGCTGGGCTTTGAGGGAAGACTATGAATGTATAGCCAGTTCTCCTCTGGCCCAAGATGCATAACTAGCTATTAAGGCACCCTGGGCCAGGAGAGGGGGAAATGCTGTTGTGATGAGTTGCAGAAGGTAGGGGCAAAAACTTACCTGCCACTGGGTTCCCTGCACATTGGCAGCAGACTACTGTGGATGCAGAATGGGCTTCCCATATCCCAGGTGAAGCTGCCCCACTACAGGGGCTTCTTGGGATGGTCACCATTCTGCCATCCCCTGTAAGTTGGTGCTGGGGGCTGGTGCCCCATTCACCCACCCCTTGGTTACACTACTCTGTTGCCCTATAAATTTGTCCCCTTTTGCATCAAAGCTGAACAGCAATGTTCTGTTGGACCATTTGCTTCTACTTTTAGCATGGTGGTCATAATACAAGAGTAGGAAACACTTTTTAAACGTTATGCCATCTGAAACGTTTGTCATTTCTCCTCTCCAAAGCACATTGCTGCTGTTTAGACTTGAGCAGTATTTCTCTGCCTTAACTCCATGTTCCTTTTTTAAAGGTGTGGATTCCATTTTTGTGGCGCTCTGATCTTTGCTGATACTTGCTGTGAGATGGGTCTTTCTGAAGGAGGGCCACTTTGAGTTTGAAAGCTCAATTCTTTTCTCTTTGCACATTGCCCTGAGGAAAGTTGCCAGGTGTACACAAGTAGAACTGAGAGTGGGAAGCTGGCCTGCTAAATCTATTGTTGGTGAAGATGCCTGAGAAGGAAAAGACCCAGTTTCCCACTGGGTCCTGGCTGAGTGTGCAGGACTGGCAGTTGAAAGAAAAAAAGTTCCCGGTGTTACAAATTCTGAGACACAAACTTGGGGACCCCATGATGCCAATTTTGATTCAGTTTTTCAAAGTAAAACCACACACAACTTTTATGAATCGATTCCTAGGCTTTTTATTCCCTCCCGCCTTGCGGTGGTAAACCCCAGCTAGGTCTAACAAAAGGCAGCTGTTGATTTGTAGTAGTGGCAGGACTTCAGGTTGCATTACTTCTCCTCAGGTTTTAAGTTCTTCTCAATTTATCATAATAGTAAGTAACAGGGAATAAGCAGCTGTGTCTTTACCTTAAATTTAGCAAAACCTTTGTTGGGGCTGTAACTTTCATAAGAATGTGCACAGGGCTGCTTTTCAACTTCAGTCTCATCTTAGATAAGCAGCTTTTATCTCTCTTCTGTACTACAAGTTAGGTAGTTAAATTTCAAAACCACTATACAGAGCACAGACTTGCAGCGAGCTTAGTTTAAGTCACAAAATAAGAAAGCCACAACTTCACTGTCTTCCTATGCAAGGAATCAGCTGACCCATAGGAGAGGCAATATGTCTAGCCTCATGCAAAACCTCTA